GAGGACTTGGTCCAACCAAGCTGTCCCTGGAAGGCAATGCCAAGAGGGTGGGGACCAGCACATGCCTCCAGAGGGTCGGCCCTGTGGCCACAGAGCTGGAGCAGGTGGCATCCCATTCGCATCTTCTGAATGAACATGGGGTTAAAGAAGACCCTGGTAGGAGGTGAGGGAAAAGCTGGAGCATCAGGACTGACATGTGAGGCAGCTGGCTGCTGAAAAGTGTGTGGGGTGTGTGTCAGAGAGAGAGAGAGAGAGAGAGAGAGAGCGCGAGCGACATGAATTCCTCAGGGCCCAGAAAGGATAAAAGAGGCCTTCTGGCAAGAGGTGGCTGTGGTGGGAAGGAAAGGGGCTGCTAGGTAAGGAGTCTGTGAAGGCTTGGAACTGATGGGAAGGGAGAGGCAGAGTGCTCAGCCATGAAAGGTAGAGCAGCTTCCAGGAAGGACCTGAGCTTTCTTTTCTTTTTTCATTTTTTCTTTTTTGAGGCAGGGTATTGCTATCTAGCTCAGGCTGGCCTTGTACATATTATTATTTTTTTTTTTTTTTACTTTTTTGGGGGTACCAGGGGTCAAACTCAGGACCTTGTGCTTTTGAGGAAGGCATGGCACCACTGAGCTAAATCCCTGGCCTTGAACACATTATTTTGCCTTGGCTGGCTTTGAACTCACTGCAATCCTCCTGCGTTGGCCTCTGAAGTGCTGAGATTATAGGCAGGCCTTAGGTTTCAGAAGGCACAGAGACAGACAAGTTCTGGGGCCCCCTAAGTCCTGGGCATGAACTAGGGAAGCCCACCACATCAGAAGGTAGACCTATTACTCTCATTTTATGTTTTGTTTTGGTTTCTTTTTGGTACCGGGATGGAACTCAGGACCTTGCACTTGCGAGGCAGGTGACGGAACCACTGAGCTAAATCCTGGCCCTACTCTCATTTTACAGAGAAGCAAAAGGCGGTTTAGGAATGAGAAGTGACACAGAAGTCACACAGCCACCAGCTTGCTCTTGCTGTTTCCACTGCCCCTTGCCCAACCTGTCTCTGCCCAGACTAGGCAAAGGGACTGGTTCTGCAGCTGCTATGGTGGTTGAATCTCAGGGCCTCTGGGAAATCCCTTCTTTAGCCCAAATGGAAAGCCCTAAGGTCAGAAGAGATTGTTTCAGTCAGCCTGCCATCAGCCACAGCTTCCCTCTCAAAGAGCTAGGCTCCAGGACAGCGTGGTGTCCTCTACCCAGGGGCAGGGCACCCCAGGACCTGTGACACTCGCGCAGGGCCCTTTCCCACACACAGATCTTCACCCTCTGAGCACCTGTACACTTGCCACTGGATCCACCACCAACACTTTGCTGTGCTTGCTCTATCACAACTCCATCCCTCAATCCAGCTTTTAAAAATTTTTTTCAAATTAAAGTGCAGACTTCATATTCCTCATAGATATGTCAACCTGCATATCATTAACTACAGTTGGATATTTATTTCCATTTTGCCTAGGGAAAACTGACAGTGAAAAATACAAATCTTACCTTGCATTTGTCAGAGCTGTCTTTCACTCACAGAATGTTTTGTTTTGTTTTGAGTCAGGGTCTCACTTTGTGGCTCAGGCCAGCCTTGAACTCACAGTGATCCTCCTGCCTCAGCCTCCCAAGTGTTAGGATTGTGCCACCACGCAGGGCATTCACCAGAATGTTTTTGAGGTTCATCTCTGTTATTGTGTATAATAGTTCACTCTCGATAAACTTTTTTTTTTTTTTTTGGTACCAGGGAGCGAACTCAGGACCTTATGCTTGTGAGGCAAGCAGTGGCATCACTGAATCCCCAGCCTGATAAACTGTATTTTAAAATCATTTTAGTCATAAAGTAGTTGCAGAGATAGTAGATGTCCCATATGCCCCATGCTACTTTCCTATGCCTGCCTGCCTTCACATATATATTTAGGGTCTTATCACTGAGCTACTCAGCTCGTTTTTACACTTTTTTTTTTTTTTTTTTTTTTTTTCTGTTTTTGAGACAGGGCCTTTTAATGTCAACAGATTGCCCAGGCTGGGCTGAAACTTGTGATCCTCCCTGCCTCAGCCTCCCACAGTGCTGGGATTGTAGAAATGCACCACTGTGCCTGGCCTGTGTTAACATCTGAAATTGCACACTGAGAAGCTATTCTGGGACATTGCTTTCAGCTAAAGACCAATTGGGACTTCCTGTTTTTCCAATCATGTCCTCCTCTCTCCCAGGACTTGAGCCAGGGGCTGCTGCACACATGTGCCTTGCTTGACTCCCTAGGGTTCTTGCTCCGGTCCTCAGTCTTCGCTTATTTTTCATGATTGTGGCAGTCTTAAGGTCCATTGGGCAGGGGTCATGGGGAATGTTCCCCAAGTTATGTTTGTGTGATGCTTAGACTGGGCTTTGGGCTTTTGGGAAGAATCCTCAGGCAAGGCGCCCCTTTCAGCACATCGTGTTGGGATGCTGCTAGCAGTGTCGTATTTACCCTCAGGTCTTGGTTGTTCACCACTGCAAAATGACTCTTCCCTTTCTCTGCACCCAAGCCGGAAGTGAGTCCCAAGTCTAACCCACCGTGGGAGCAGGGGCATGGGCAAGAACTAAACTCCACCCCCTGATGGGGTAGGCTGGCAAATAGTTTGAAGGAAAATCTCCCATATTTATATGTCAATTCACCTTTTTGTGTGTGTGTGTACATCTGGATCAAACTCAGGACCTTACTCTTGCCAGGCAGGCAGCGGCACCACTGAGTTTAACTCAGCCCTGTTAATTTACTTATTAGATGATTTTTTAAATTGCATTTTTGTTTTTAATCAAGGTAATACATACTTTATAAGTTAAGGTTTATAAGAAAAAGAATAGCTCATCTTACAGTTATTTCTTCTGGTACTGACTGCTCTTACTTGTGTTTCTTACCCCCGCACTTTTTTTTTCTTCTTTTGAGACAGGGTCTCAATGTGTAGTTTAGGCTGGCCTTGAACTTGCAGCAGTCCTCCTGCCTCAGCTTCCGAGTGCTGGTATTACAGACATGTACCACCATGCCTGGCCCCCATTCCCTTTTCTGTTTGGTTGGAGGATATGAAATTGCCAATAGTCAAACATTTTTAACCTGCAAAAATAGCAATTTCATATGATTCAGCCTAATATCATAATAGTTCAACTTCCTCTGACTTATCCAGCAGATTGTTGTGTGACACTGAGTTGCCTCATTTTGTTTGGTTTTGAGTTGTGACTTTGTATCTGCCCCTCATGTAATCCAGCTTGGATCAGCTTCCTCTTTCCCAGATAAGGCATCTTGGGGCCTGGGTAAGAAAGGGTAGTCCAGGCTATAAGGTCGGCCTTTGCTGTGATCATGGCTGTCCCCAGGCACATTGCCTTCCAGGGTCCTTGAACAACAGTCCAGCCACAGGGCAAGTGTTTCAAATTCCCTGAAGGGGATCATTCAGTCTTCCACAGGAGCTTCCGTGGTGACAGAATGGCAGGTATTTGTCCCTGAGACCATCAATGCCATTACCTGCTGACTCTCCTTAGCGGTCCAGCCTTAGTAAAGGGGTCTGGAGGCCTAGACCCCAGGCTCAGTTCAGCACCTCATTTGCACCAAGACCCTGGCTGAGGTGATCCTTCCTGAAACCTGAAGGGCAAATAGCTATTGACTAGATAAAAGGGGAGAGAATATTCCAGGGAGAGGAAACAGCAACCATCCTACAGTGGAGTGAGATGGCTCAAGGAGAGGGTGGTGCATATATGTGGGCAGGGACCAAGTACAAGGCCTCAAGGAGCTAGGGAAGCCTTTGAGGGAATCATGATCAGATTTGTGTTTTTGCAAAACTCCGTCTGGCTGCCACTGAGCATGGCAGAAGAGCAGGTTTGAGAACAGAGAGCCCAACAGGAGGCTTCACCGATACTTAGATGACAGTGGCTTTGAACAGGGCAGTGGCTGTGGAGATAGAAAAGGTGAGTTTGGAAGTATAGGAGGTACAGTTGATGGGCCTTGGTGGCTTAGTGTATGGGAAAAGTGTCAGGTGAATCTGTAGTTTGGGCTCCTACATAGAAGGTGGAAGCAAGGTACCTGGCAGGAGAAGCCAGTTTGAACAGGGTGAACAGTCCTTACCTGGCTGTGTAGAAATCCCTGCTGACACTGAGCAGTAGGTGCACAGGCCATTGGTTGCACTGCACCACTCTAGAGGTGTAGGCTGGGTAGAAGAGGTGGAATATGGGTAACTACTGAGGGCCAGCAAGATCTAAGTACAGGTCCTGGGGAAGGGGTGTCCCCGGGGCAGGGCCTTGCTTCTTGGTCTTGGATAGGCTGGGACTTTGATGGGAGGTGCTAGATCGGGGCTCCCCTGTAGGGTCCTGCTCCAGGGAGGTGCCCCACAGCATCCTCACACAGTCTCTCTCCCCACCCCCAGATCCTGCTCATCTCTGATTACTTCTATGCCTTCCTGCGGCGAGAGTACTACCTCACACACGGTCTCTACTTGACTGCCAGAGACGGTACAGAGGCCATGCTTGTGCTCAAGTAGGCCTGGCTTGGCACAGGACTGCTCCGATCTCAAGTGGGCAAGGACCGGAAACTGGACATGGCCCCCATCAAGAGTTGCCAGAAGGCAAGTCCTTGAGAAGAGATTTGAGTACACAGTCACAAATCTCCTGCACCAGAGGGGACCCATGGCTGACAGCAAGGCCTGTGGGGTAACAGCTGGGGACACACCACCACCTGGACTCTCCTCTGTGGCTCTGTACACCAAGTAACCCTTTCCTAGGCAGCAGGTGAGCAAGGCTTGACAGGTTGTGGTTACTAAATAAATGTTTTTGTTATGAAACAGCTACTCTGGGACCACATCCACATAGCATGCCTGGAGGAAGTGGGCTTGGCCTGTAGTATGGCCAGGGTACACACAGATGTGTCAGTTTCTACAGGGAGCTGGAAATCACTAGCACAGGCTTGTGCTGGTGGGCTGAGACTAGTGTATGAGGACAGTCTCCCAGCTGCTGTCCCTACGTCCAAACAAACAGCTGGAGGCAAAGGGCCAGGCAGGCCTACGCAATCTTTATTCTGCAGAGGGACAATGACCACAGATCCGTATACCATGTGGTGATGGTGGATATGAGGGGAGCCAAGGGCCAGTCTTTCAGGGGTAGGCAGGTCCAGGCAGGGGGCAGAGCCTCAGGTGGGTGAGGGGCAGGTGGGCAGACAGGCAAGGGCCTAAAAAGACAAACCACAGCGGGGGTGCCGGGGGCTGCTCCCCACCCTCCCCCAACCCAGCCAGCACCCAGTCGGGTCACCCTAACATAACTGGTCCAGGACACCCCCAGGGGCAGAGCAGGCTGGTTGGTGCCAGCTAGCTAGAGGCCACATCCCTGCCCTGCCCAGCCCACCAGGGGCGAGACAGCTCAGTTCAGGAGGCAGGGGCTCCTTGGGCAAAGCCCATCCCAGCCCCCCACTCCCAGGCCAACCCCCCTACTGCTGGCTCAGAAGCCGAAGGTCTCCTGGGAGGCGTAGACCATGTACAGGAAGCCGTCCTCATCTTTCTCCTGCTCATAGATGTCTGCGATGGGCGTGGACACGCTCACCATGCTGTGCTGGTTCACCAGCAGGAAGAAGGCCTGCATGGGGTTCAGCTGCAGGCGGCGCCTGAGGGGGTAGGAGGGTACGCTGAGGGGCCTAACCCTGACGACCCCTGCTTCCTACTCCAACTCCTAGCGGCTCTCACTCTGAGCCGACACTGACTCCATCCTCTACTCTGACCTTTCCCAGCCTCCAAAAAACGGGTCCGGCGCCAATTCCCATGCCCTTGACCACATCCACCCCTTCTCAGCCGGAGACCCGGCGCCTTGCCCCACCCAGTCCTGCTGCCTACACACCGAATGATCTTGACCAACTCGCTCATGTTGACATGGTCGGGGACCAGGAACTTGGTCTTGTCCAGCACGGGGAGCTGCTTCTCACCCTTGTAGCGTTCTATGATCACCTGGGAGTGGGGCGGGTGGGAGACCGTGAGCCCCGGGCGCGGCCG